AGAGAGACAGAGACAGAAACACAGAGACAGAGATACAGAGAGAGAGAGACAGAGAGAGACAGAGACAGAGACACAGAGAGAGAGACATAGACAGAGAGACAGAGAGAGACATAGACAGAGACAGAGCGACAGAGACAGAGAGAACAAACACAGAGACAGAAACACAGAGAGCTAGAGAGACAGAGACAGAGACAGAGAGAGACAGACAGACAGACCAGAGAGAGAGAGGATGCTTGATGCTTAGGAAGCTTCTGGATCTTCCTAATGTCAAAAGTAAAAAAATCCAAATTCCTCTGTTTGGCATTTAAAGTCCTTCACAGTTTAGCTACAATGGACATTTCCAGACCAAGTTCACACTACTTCCTCTTATAAATTCTGCTTTCAGTCAGACTGAACTACTAAATCTCCTGTATTTCTGACTCCATGTCCCATCCCTGTACCTCTGTACAGGAAGTCCCTCAGGCAGATTGTGCTTTCCTAGCTCCCCTGCAGGCTAAGTGCTGCCTCCAGCAAGAGGCCTTTCCTGACTCCCCAAGTTATTGTATGTTCCAAGTCGTACAGAACACGCAATGCTAACCTCCTGTGATCGAGCTTGATGTTATAATCAACAGATACTTAAAATAAAGTCAGTCTCATACTTCTAACAATATATATGATCATTGTCATGATAAAGTACTTAAGTATAAATACATTCAATACATCATTGTCCTTATGAACCTCCTCCTTTTCCCATCAGGCTAAGGACCTTGATGCATCATATCCCACCAAAAAAAAAAAAAGAGGGTCAAGTAGGGTTCCCAATTCTACTCTTCCCCCTCACCTCATATCACTCAGACTTCTACCACTATCATATCCTTCTCTCTGGTCTCAGATGAAGAGATGATCCTTCTCCTTGTAGAGGCCACATGTATCTTTAATCCTATATTCTCATGACTCTCCTATGTTCTCCAGAAAATTCTCCCCTCTAGAATCCCTGTTCTCTCTTACCTTCAACATTTCCCTATTTGCTGGCTCCTACTTTTTTGCCAATAAACACAGAAATATTTCCCCCCACCTTAAAAAAAAAGTCTCCTTATCCTACTATCCTAGCAAGCTATTGTCCTATCTTTCCTCATGTCAGCTAAAGAAAGCTGTCTGCACTAGATATCTCAATTTCTCCTCTCACTGCCAAAAACTTCTGCAACCTGGCTTTTGATATTATTCAACTAAAACCGTTGTCTCCAAAGTTACTAAGGATCTGTTAATTGCCAATCATATGGCCTTTGCTCAGTGCTTATTATTCTTGATTTTTCTGTAGCTTTGGACAGAACTGGACACATTGTGCTACTAGATATTCTCTCCTCCTATTTTCTGTTTCTCCTCCTATTTTCCTGATAATTCCTCATCTCTTTTCCTGGTTCTTCATCTGTGTTACTCCCATTAAACACGGATGTCCCCTAAGACTCTATCCATAACTCTCTTCCCATTTCCCTCTGTACTACCTCAGTTGGCCATTTCATTAGCTTCCATATGTTCAACTATAAGCCATATGTAGATGATTCCAAGATGAATACACACACACACACACACACACACACACACACATTCCTATCTACCTTCCTCCCAGTCACCCACGCTGGGCACCTCATTGTCATCCTAACTCTCATGATCCTACATATCCAATCCATTGCAAATTCTATAGCAATAGGCTTGTAAATGGACACAATTCCTTAAGTCTCTCCTCACCCAATCCAAAGCATAAGCCTGATCAGTATATTCCTACTTAAAAAACTCTAGTAGCTTAGCCCCAGCATCAGATATAAAGTCTTGTGTTTGTTCTGTAAAGTTTTTCCCAATTTGACCCCTTCTGCCTTTCCAGCCTTCTTATACTTTTGTCCCCATATATTCTCTCTGATCCAGACATGCTGGCCTATTTGCTGTTCCTTATCTACAACATTCCATCTCTGTGCCTTTGCACTGCTATCCTCCTTCCCCCTTACCTTCAATGCTTTTCCTTTTAACCTATCCCTCTTAGATTCCCTGTCTTCCCTCAAGACTCAGCTCAAACTCAACTTTCTGCAAGAGGCATTTCCCAGATCCCAAACACTGTCAAAATATCGTCCTTCTGAGATTGCCTCCCATTTATACTGAATATATTTTGTATGAACAAAATTGTTTGGCATGTTGTTTTCTCTCATTAGAATGTGAGCCTCTTCAGGGCAAGGAACATATTTTTGCCTTTCTTTGTATCATGCAATATTTAGGACAGTGCCTGACACACAGTAAGCACTTAAATGCTTGTTGACTATGCCTCCGCACTCCATCAATTTTGATAAGAAAGATTTTTCCTCTCCAATTGTAACACTTTCTTTAAAACATTAAATTCCAACACTTTCAGATCTCTGAAATAGTTTGCTTCCATTGTCCAATTTCTTGTCTGCATCTTCATTCTTTCATTCTTCATTGGTTGCTTCTCCTATGCTTTCAAACCCTTATGGGTATCCCCTACCTGTAAAAATCATTTTACTTGAGCTCAACGTTCCCTGGAGCTCCCATCTCAAAAGTCTTCCTTTCGTTGCCAAAATGAAAGTGGGTTTCTCTTTCCAACTCTCTTAAAACTATTTTCTCAAAGACCACCAATATAGAACAGAGAGAAAAGGAGATTGACCTAATTGTTGGATTCATTGGCTTTATCTCAGTTCTCATTGGCCTTGAACTCTCTAAATAATTTTATTCTTTTAACTTTCCATTTCTTATTAAAAATATTTTCTTCCTTATGTTCCATGATATTGTATAGGTCCAGATGTTCTTCCTACATTAATAGGCTTAAAAAGTCTACATGCCTCATCCTCTCCTAACCCCCTCTTCGCCATATCCCAAACTCCAGGCAGGGTCTCAAGACTTAAATTGACCTCTTTTCTTTGAACTCATTTATTACAGTATAAGGAACATATCAAATTATACTTGATATTTACTTCCCCATTGGTCAGGAACTATTAAGATGAAATGGCCAAAGTTCTCATCATTCATATTTCACCAAACAATTCCTTCCTTTAAGTTGAAAGCAGGTCCATAATAGTTGTCCTTTTTGCTTCTTCCAACTTCTAAAGAGCAAAAGTATTCGGAAGGCAAAGTCAAGAATTTGTTATTGTTGTTCAGTTGTTTTGGTCTTATCTGACTCTTTGTGATGCCATATGGAATTTTCTTTGCAAATATACTGTAGTGGTTTGCCATTTCCTTCTCCAGCTCATTTTACAGATGAGGAAACTGAGGCAAATAGGAGTAAGTGACTTTCCCAGGGTCACACAGCTAATAAGTGTCCAGAGCTGGATTTGAATTCAGGTCTTCCTGTCTCCAGGCTCAGCGCTTTGTCTACTCTGCCACCTAGCTGCCCAAGAATTTATTAACTGCTTATCTTTCAACCCATAGAGGGCTCCAAAATCTTATATGGTTATAGGACTAAGTAATATTAAGACACATTATAGTATAGGGTGCTGGTCTGGAAGTCAAGAAAACTAGTGTTCAGATCCTGCATCTAACACTCACTGCCTGTGTGACCACAGGTACATCACTAAAACTTAGTTTCCTCATCTGTGAAATGAGGGGGTTGCTTTTAGTGACCCTTTCAGCTATCAATTTAAGATCTCATAATTATTTAGCTCAATCTCCTTATTGTACAGATCAACAAAGTGAGGCCCAGAGAAGATAAGTGACTTCCTCCTTTACTAGAGAGGAGAGCCATGATCCAAACTCAGGTCCTCTGACACCAAAACCAATATTCTTTCTATTAGACCCACTCCCCCTTCAGCAGATGTCCAAATGGTCATTGAAGTCCTAAGGCACAAATATATTCTACCTCCTTATAGTTTAGTAATCTGCAACAGTTCCTCCTCATCCAATTCTTCTGGGTGGGAGGACACCAGGAGAACAGTGTCATCCCATTACTGATGTTTTTGGTCAGTCGGGGGTTCCTTACCCAAGTGCCCTCATGCAAACATCTCACCTCATACTCTTATGATCTCAGACAGGTAAATATCTTTCTCATTTTCATGCTATCTACATTTCTAAACATCGTTTCTTTTCAAAACAGAATAGTCTTCCATTAGCGTGCTAATCACAACTGGGAAAATTGTTATATGGGTAGAGAGCTAGTTTCAAAGCCCAGAGGAGTGAGGATCAAGTCCCACCCTTTCATATACTGGCTGTGGGGGCCGGAGGTCAATGACTCTGTGAGACCTGAAGGTACAGAGGAAGTTGCTGACCTGCATCAGCAGAAGAAATTTCCTTACCTGGGGGTTCTCTAAGCCAATAAAATCAGGTTTCCAGTCCCTTGCCACATCCCACGGAGTCTCAGTGTTATCTGTGGGACTGAGTTTACCTGCTCTTGTTAAAACATCTAGCACATAGGGCAGGAATTTAATTTTACATAACTATACCTATTTGCCACAGGCTTTGTTTTTTTTCTTGCTCAGTTGGAGAGTAAGTGGGCAGGTGGGAAGGATAGTATTCAGAAGTGAAAATAAAATAAAATTTTAAAAAATCTTTAACACAGTTTTTTACACCCATTCTCTATATGTGGGTGTATGAACATCTGCTCCCATGAACCTTAATTCTCTTCCTTTCCCCCATAGCAACCTCCTCCACTCCCATTCTTCTCTCTCAATTTGAGGTTCTTTATATGAGGTCTGTGACCTTTAATTTTTTTTTCTGACAACTATAAGTAATCGAATATATTTTGGTACACTTGGTTACTTTTTGCAATCTTATCTTATTTTATGCATTGAAAAATATCCTTCTGAGGAGCCCATAGGCTTAGTTATACTGCCAAAAGGGTTTACAATAGAATAAATAGCTTAAGACACCTTGCTCTCTAGCTAAGGGTTGCTGTATCTGAGATCTTTTCTCCTGATCCTTTTTCAGATTAAATTGAAAGCATGGCATCGTCTCCTTCCACTCGATTACTTTTTCTCACTGGTAGTATAGAGAAGGGGGCAGTGAGAGAATATATCCTGGTATTGAGGACAGGAAAAGCAAAGACTGAGGGTTAGAAAAGGAGATACTGAAAGACAGAGAGCCAACTGAGGAACAGAGTAAGACTAGCTTGGGGGAGACAGGCAAGGGAAGGCTGAGGAATAGAGAAAGGGAAGGATAAGGTCAGGAAAGTGCTGGGAAGTATTTATCAATCAACTCTCAGAAAAAAAAAAGATTACCCATGGCTCACTTCTTAGTTTAATTTGCATTATTAACATTTTCTCCATCACTCTTTCAAGTCTAGACAATCAGCAAAACAATAAGTCAAGTCCAGATTTAGAGAATTTGCCAATTTCTGAGGTACAAATGCTTACAACTGAAAACTTAACAATCAGCTCTTGAGACCCAGTTTGAGCTATTCCTTGGCTAAGGAACATAGACAAGGGAGGCTGGATGATACTGAAAGAGAAGACTGAGTGTTTGAGGCTCTATAAATGAAAAGATGCAGAGATATTGGCCTTATAATGGTATCTTTCTTCCTGTGGTCATCTCATCCAGTCTCCTGTCTCTTGAAAGTGATGAGGTCTAGAGGTTTAGGGGTACTGGGACCCCCGAGATCACTACGTGGGTCCTGCCTGAATGAATTCAACCCAAATCTTCTTTCAGCCAGAGAAAAAGTTTATTAGAGATAAACCATATAGGACAGACTCTTAAGGAATCTGAACATTAGTAATGCCCATGAGAAAATCTCAGCCTTTTGAGCATGAGAAAGTCTCAGCCTTTGAATGCAGGCCAGGGTGGATCTTATATACACTTAAGTAACTTTGGGTTGGGAAAACGGTCTAGGTGAGAATTCCAATAGGAAGGTCGGAGAGATTAAATAGACAATGGGAATAGATAATGAGAGGGGCTGGAAGGAAGAAGTTTGAAAGGCATCTGCATAAGATCAAAAGGTGGGGCTAGGGCTTTCAAAGGGAGATAAGGGGAGTCCATAAGGAAAAGTTTAAGGATTTTCTGGGGCATAGACAAATGGGAGCCAAATTCTTTTTGGCAAAAGGGGCAAAGGTCTTGGCTTCTGAAACTGAATGATGGGCCCATACCCCATCAAAAGGATTTTTCTTTCTTGGTGAGATGTGAATCTTTCCAGTTTTTCTTTCTTTTTTGTTTTCTTTTTTGTTTTTGTTTTGGTGAGGCAATTGGGATTAAGTGATTTGCCCAGGGTCACACAGCTAGTAAGTGTCAAGTGTCTGAGGCAGGATTTGAACTCAGGTCTTCCTGACTCCAATCCAGTACTTCAAGACCCCCAGAATTGGAGACTCCATGGCCAACCTCCATTAGCACTTCCAATGTCTCCCTCAATCCCCTGTCAGGAAGTTTCTTTTTCTTTTTATGAATGTCCTGTATCTTTCCTGATGTAGCTCCAGTCTCTTCTCATATGTTCTGTCCTTGAAATCAAGCCTGTGGGGTTTGAAAATAGCCAGAAGAGCACCGGACATACCATCAGAGACCTGGGTTTGATCCATGATTTCAGGACTGTCACTGAGGAGCTGTGTGACTTTGGACAAATTCCTTCATTTCTCTGCAGCTCAATCTCCACCGAAGTAGAGATTTGGACCGAACAGGGCAGGATTAAAACAACTGTCTCTCTTGCCTCACAAGACTGTTATGAAGATCAGGTAGAAGCGAATATAAGCAGGCTGTACAAAGGTGAGGAATAGGTATTACTATGACTCAACATTCTCTCTCCCCTAAATCCCCTTCTCTCCCTTGGGTCATTAATACAAGATTCTGCTCGAGCCACCAGACAGGATCCTAACCGAACTATATACCAGCCCCTACCCTGTCCGGTGTTCATCTCGGCATTCACTCACCTGCTCTCTCTGATAGCTGGGGTGCCTCTGCCCACATATGTAGAGCCAGGCCTGTGCTCTGCCTGCCTGGTACCTTAAAGGCCCTTGTCCAGAGCACCTGAGAGTCTGTGGGCCCACCTCCCCTGCCGGGATAGTTACATCACACCCACCCCTTTGCATAGATTGCCAGAGGACTTCAGGTTCGGCAGGGATTCCCAAGTCACTGATGTACTTCTCTCCAGAGAGCCCCTGTCATCCATCACAGGCCCGTGGAGCCAGCATCCTCACTCTCCTTCCAGGAGATTATAACACAGCATATCCTGTTCCTAGGATTTGAAGTTAAAAGATACCTTAAGCATCATCTAGTTCAACTCCATCTCTTCAGAGAGGAGAAGCCTGAGAACCACAGCTGGGAAATGCAGGGTAGTAACTTTTATACCATACCTTAAGTTTTACAAAACCCTTCCAATTCATTTTGTCATTTGAGCCTCTACAAAAAGTCTGTGATTGTTATCATTATCCCCACTTTTCAAAGGAGGAACCGAGACAATGACATCAAAAGATTTGCCTGGGAGCCACGTAGTTACTAAATGACTCTGGCAGAATTTGAATACAGGCCTTTCAGGCTCAGACCAGGACTTAATCCACAACGCAATTCCACCCCTCAGTAGAGCTCAAAGGCAGCTGAGGATGTTGCCTCAGCAAGAACCACCAAATCTGATGTCCAAAGAGCTTTGTTCAAATCTGACTTTGCTACCAACTAGCTGTGTGATGATGGACCAATCATTATCCATCTCTGGGCCTTGGTTTCCTTCTCTGCAAAATTAAGAGTTTTATTTAATTTTGTTTTATATTCCAATTATTTTCCTATTAACTTTCCCTCTGTGGAAACATTACTAGAGATCAATAAACTTGATTGCTTGAATATTCTATTTTTTTGCCTTCTCAGTGAGAGAGAGGGGGGTAAGAGAGGGAGAGAATTTGGAACTGAAAATAAAAACAACATTTAAAATTAAAAAAATAAATGAATAAACTTAATTTCTCCTCCAGAGCTAAGCACAGTGCTCAGGACACAGTAGGTGAATAACAAATAATTGTTGAATGAATGAATAAACCTGGAAATTAGAGAATAGATCTGTGTCCAAGAAATAAAGGACCCAAAGCTGGAGCTGAAGATTGGAATCAGAGACAATACAAAATGACAGTTTTTATTTGGAGTGAAAGTGACTCCCTCCAGCCCCCCTTCCAAATCTGTCCAGCTTCTTCCTTAAATTACTTTGTATTTAATAGTGTATTTTTTTTCCTTTAGGTACCTATATCAATAGTGTCAAACTTAAATAGAAAAAAGTTCCACATAAGGATTCTTGTTTGGGTTTTTCTTGTTCGTTTTTAATTTTGGAGGCAATGGGGATTAAGTGACTTGCCCAGGGTCATACAGTTATCTAACAAGTATTTGAGGTTGGATTAGAAGGACGATACTCTATCCACTTTGCCACCTAGCTGCCCCTCACATAAGGATTCTTGCAGCAGCATATTGACTTAGTTTTTAAAATGTATTGTTATCTATACGCTATTTCATTTTTATTTATTTTGTTAAATGTTTCTCAGTTACATTTTAATGTGGTTCAGGCCACACTGAGTCCCTAGGCCTTGTGTCTGCCACTTCTACCATACAGGCTGCCTCTCCCACAGAAGGAAACACCTGGAGAGGAGAGAGTGCTTCATTTTTGTCTTTTAATCCCCAGTGCCTAGCACAGAGCCTGGCTCAGAGATCACATTTAATTAACAATTGTATATTGACTAAAATACATAACTAAAGAACTGAATATCTGAAGATATGGGTGCTGTAGTCTCCATAGCTAACCACCAAGAGGTGGGGATTCTAGATGTCCTTTAATTGACACAGCCCTTTGTCTTCTGATGATCTGGAACTCTGTCCCTGGGTTAGACTGATTCTTGTTTATCCTATATGTGGAATTGTGTCTTAGGGGACCTTATCCTTACTCTGATTGACCTCAAGGATTATGGGTTCCTCAAAAGAATTCTCCTTCCCTAGGGGTACTCTGTCCATATTCTAATTTTGGGGGGGCTTACTTGCTTCTCCTTAGGTCAAGGAGGCCCCACCTATGAACCTGTACAGCTGATGGATTAGATACGTAAACAGGGTCTTGAGTCTGAGGCTCGTCTCTCAGGGCTCAGCTCTATCTATGATAAAACAAGGGAAATAGGCCTCTCTTCTTAGCAGAAGCGAAGATTTGAAAGAAGGAAGAGGGGTTTGTGTTTCATCTTTGTAGTTTTTTTCTTTGTATCTCCAATACCCACCAGAGTGCCTCATAAGTAGTAGAAATTCAATAAATGATGGTTGAATCAGATTGAATTGGGAGTCAGGAACAAGAAAGATCTGAGGTTCTGAACCAACATGCCTCAGCTTGTCCTGGGAAGGAAGAGAGGCTGCTGTCTGGGGGGCAAGGTTTGCCACAGGCAAGGTTTTGCCCAACTTGGCATGTATTTTATCACAGAAGCTGGTTCCTTATTGAAGTGTTCATGCTGTGGTCAGTTTGTTTTATTTTGATTTTGGTGACCCTGGAAAGAGTTCTGAGCCAACAGTCAGTGTTTTTCAGAACCATCTGCCTTAGGTACTTAGGCTGATTATATACAACTTGGTTCTTCCCAGACCGCATCCTACCCACAAGGAAATATTTACAAGTTTATAATGTCAATTATATATATTACACATTTAGTCATAAAAGTATCATACAGTTATGTTGTTCAGTCATGTCTGACTCTTCATGACCCCACTTGGGGTTTTCTTGGCAAAGATACTGGAGCGGTTTGCTATTTCCTTCTCTAGCTCATTTTACAGATGAGGAAATTGAGACAAACAGGGTTAAGTGACCAGTTACAGCTAGTAATTGTCTGAGGCTAGATTTGAACTCAGGTCTTCCTGACTGCAGGCCTGGCACTCGTATCCATTGTGCCCTAGTCATAACTATATACAATTCCCATTAATCTTTCCCACCTAAGCCTGAGGTCACCCAGTTTCATGATCTGCCCTTCCCCCAACCCCCCAGCCTGACATGAGTCATAGTATGCATTAAGAACTATAAGAGACCTTCAAAGCCCTCAAATCCAATCCCTTCATTTTACTTGCCCAGGGTCACAAAACTAGTAAATGTCTCATGTGAGATTTGAATTCAAATCTTTCTGATTCCAAGTCCAGCACCCTCTCCACTGTGCCACCCCAATGAGCCTCCTGTAGTCTGAGAATTCCTGGTCTACTCTGTGCCCTAGGCTCTGTGCTTTGACAAGTTCAATAACTGTACTTTGTTGACCTAGGATTCACTTATTTCATAGCCACAGAACAGGTAATGCCTATAGCACTATGACTTGGGAGATCTGAGCCTGGGGACTATTCTGACCATCGAGTTAGAAGTGAACTGGCAGAGTGGAAGAGGCTAGTTTCTTCAATAGCCCAGGGAACTTGGGGTGGGGTAGGGGTGAGGGAGTGTCAGGGGAAGGACTTAGCCAGATGAGAGGAGAGAAGTCCTAGAGAAAATTATTAATGTTATGGGGAACTAAAGAGGGAAGAAACTTGGGCAAAAAATGGATTGTACTGAAGAGGCTAGAAGGGGAAACAGGTTTGAGGGTCTCTGAGTAAATCTTATCTGAGCTGGAAATAGCTAGTATCTGTGTCTGTGTTACATGTCTTCACATCCTTCTCACAATTGAAGGGAAGGGGCTTCTGTTCCTTTTAGTCTCTAGTTCTGAAGGACTTTGTCGACGGACATTATCATCAAAGACCCAACCCAGTTCAAATGGCATCTCCTACATGAAACCTGCAGGAAGTCTTCCCAGGAATAATGATCTTCTGCCCTTTGGATCTCACATAGCATTTTGTGTCAACTTCCCCACCCCAACTCCAGCCTCCCAACTTCACAAGTATTGTTTTTGTAATGGGAATACAGATCTTTGCATTAACAGCAGGAATGTTGGCTAAGAGCAACAGCCAGGACCTCTGGTTCAGAATTGAATTAAACTGAATTGAATCAAAACATTGGGTACAATAAACTCATTCTATATTCCATGCCTTATAAAATAAAGTACTTACAAGGGAACTGAAGACACCTAGATCAGAGACATAGGAGAAATGAGCCAAATTCAGCATTTCTAGGTATATCTCAATGGAAGTATGAGCCATGATGTTGTTATTGATGTCTCTGGGTTTGAAACTGGTCCATCTGTCCAAAATGGACATGTCACATTTTGTTTTATGGTCACCTGTGTTGATGTCTTACACACTTACTAAATGCTGAGTTGCATGAGGACAGAAATTGTGCATTTAAAATATGTATTTTCTCAGGATAGAGCTCAATATCTAGCACCCAGTAGAAGTTTAAGAAATATTTATGAAAGTTAATTGAATATAAAAGGAGTCATTATCTGCCCTGCTCCATTAACCCTAGTACCTGGAACTCCACTTTAGTTGCACCATAAGTTTGACAATTGCCTGGCGTATCTCCTTGGTCTTGATGCTATAGATGATAGGGTTGAGCATGGGAGGCACAAATAGGTAGATGTTAGCCATGAGGAGGTGGACAACAGGTGAAGCATGCTTTCCAAAGCGGTGTACTAAAGACAGCCCCACCATAGGCACAAAGAAAACCAACACAGCGCTGAGATGTGAGGTACATGTCTGAAATGCCCGTAGACGCTCTTCTCGGGAGGCCAGACCCATCACAGAGTGGAGAATGAGTGCATAGGACAAGGCAATGAAAACTAGGTCAAGAATCACAGTGAATACCACCAGTGACAGCCCATACAGATTGTTAAAGGTAGTGTCTGCACAGGCCAGGCGAATCACATCCTGGTGCAGACAAAAAGAGTGAGAGAGAATTCGCCGTCCACAGTATGGGAATGCTTGGAGGAGGAGGACAATGGGGAGTAGAGCCACAGGACCCCTGAGGATGATAGCAAGGCCAGCCCAAGTCACTCTCTGGCCCGCGACAATGACTGAATACCGCAACGGGCAACAGATGGCCACAAAACGGTCGAAAGACATGACAAGGAGCACAGCAGACTCCATGAGGGAGAAGGAATGGATACAAAACATCTGGAACTGGCAGGTGCCAAAACAGATGTCCTGGGAACCAAGCCAGAAGGTGACCACTGTGGTGGGCAGTGTGGACACCGAGAGGCCAAGGTCATTGAGGGCCAGCAGTGAGAGAAGGTAATACATCGGTGTATGGAGATGAGTGTTTGTCTTAATGATGAACAGGATGAAGCAGTTGCCCAAGATGGCCACCAGATACATCAGGCAGAAGGGGATAAGGATCCAATGTTGAATGGCCTCCAAACCAGGGAAACCAATGAGGTAGAAAGTAGGGCGGAACTGGGTGGCATTGATCAGAGACATAGAGTGAGGAATGAAGAAAATTGGGCCTCCTTTCTGGAAAGCAAGCTGAAAAGAAAACCACCAAATGCCTGGTTATTTATTAACAAGTGGCATGTCAGAATCAGAACCCATTCTTTGTCTTCATTAACACATCACTATCCTTCTTAACATACACCAATCTCACCACAGTCATTGCCATCTGCAAGGGAGATGCGATATGACCACCCAGCTCCTTCATCTCCACACCTATGATCTATGAATTTTGTAAGTGAATCTTACAAGGCTCCCTCATCACCAAACCTCTGGATCCTAATAACAGTAGAATTCTGTTGTAGGTGCTGGAGTGGATTTGAGTCATACTATTGTTTTATAGATAGAGTTTCAAAGTCTAACCCAAAGCTTCATAAATAAACTCAGTTTCTTCTTGAACTTGAACAAATAAACAGTAAGGTCATTTGGGAGATAGGTATGTGTCAGGGAGTGGGGGTGAGAAATTTGATCAGGAAAAAAAAGCATATTTTTTCATCTCACTCTTTTTTTTTTTTCCTATGTCATCCTTGATCAGTCTAAAAATCCTGAATTTCTACATTTCTCAGTATGGAGTTCATTTTGGGCTCAGTAAAATGCTGCTAAGATCTTATGCTCCAATGTCTGGTCTTTATCTACTGACACAAAATCATAGTGGACTATCTAGTATAGTATAGTATGTATCTATATCTATCTATCTATCTATCTATCATCTATCTATCTATCTATCTATCTATATATATATATATATAGTGTCCCTCATTCCAACATGACCTCATTAAGGTCAGGAACTATTTTTGCTATTCTCTTTATTCTCAGCACTTAACATAGTACTTGACACAAACAACGAGCTTATTAAATCCTTGTTGATTGAGGTATTGATTAAAATAATATTCTTTCAGATTATTTATTGTTAACATTAACTGATGCTGTTAGTGTGCTTTGAGATTTACAAAGAATTTCTCCTTTAGGTACATTCCTTTTTCAAACCTCTTTTATTCATTCTTGAATTTCCCACAGCTCTCGCTCCTCCTACCCTCCCTGCTGAGAACTTTGCCTGATATTTCACTGAAAAAAAATTAGGCCCTTCCCTGAGAGGTCCCTTTTCTCCCATCTCCTTCATCTTACATCACTTAGATGCCTTCTGCCACAGAATGTCCTCCCGCAACCCTGTTTCACATGAGGAGCCCGCTCTTCTTCTTGCCAAGACAAAACTTTTCAAGTACATGATCCCTTGCCAATCCAACTTCTCCAGCAGCTTGTTCCCTCTATTATCCCTTATCTCTTATTTATCTTCAATATCTCTGTTTCTCCTAGTTACTTCTCTACTGCCTACAGACATGCTCACAGTCTCCCCCATCTTCAAACAAACCTCCTTTGATCGTTTTAATCCCATTAGCTATTGTCCCATTTCCCTCTTCCCTTTTGTGGCTAAACTCCTTGAGAAGGCCATCTATAATGGGGGATTCCACTTACTTTCACTCTTCTTAACTTTCTACAGTATGGCTTTCAATCTCAACATTCAACTAAAACTGCTTTCTCCAAAGTAACTAACAATCTCTTAATTGCCAAATCCAAAGTCCTTTTCCCAATCCCCATCCTTCCTGATCTCTCTCTGCAGTCTTTGAAACTCAATTAACCCCTTCTCCTCTTCTCTCTAGGTTTTCATGCCACTGTTCTTTCTTGATTCTCCTAAATGTCTGACTGCTCTTTCTCTGTCTTCTTATCTGTGTCTTCATCCACAGCAAAGCAGTCTACAGTGGGGATTCCCAAGGCTTTGGTCTGGGGCTCTTCTCTTCTCCCACTATTTCACTTGGTGATCTTATCAGTTCCCACAGTTTCAATCATCATCTCTATGCAGATGATTCTCAAATCTACTTATTCAACCCTATTTTCTCTCCCAGCCTTCAGTCCCCCATCTCCAACTGCCTATTAGACATATTGAACTAGATGATCTATAGACATTTTAAACTCAATCAAAACAGAACTCATTATCATTTCCCCAAAACTTCCCCCTCTTATTAACTTCCCTATTACTGTCTAGGGTACCACCATCCTTCCAATAATCCAGGTTCTAAACCTAGATGTCATGACCTATGTGTCATCCTCTCATATTATCCCTCCTACTCAATGAATTCCAATAGTTCCCTAATTGACTCTAAGAAAAAATTTAAAATATTCTATTTGGCTTTCAAAGCCCTCAGTAACCAGGAGACTTCCTGCCTTTCCAGTCTTCCTACACCTTACTCTTCTCCACATAATCTATCCTCCAATGAACAATTTTCTTTGTTGTTCCTCTAACAAAATTCTTTATATCCTGACTCCAGCTCTTTTCATTGGCTGTTTCCAATTCCTGGAACTCTATTCATGTCTCCACCTCCTAGCTCTCCTGGCTTCCTTTGATCTCAGCTAAAGTCCCACCTTCTGCAAGAAATTTGTCCCAGTCTTCCTTAATGCTAGTGCCTAGATCTAAGATTATCACCAATTTATCTTACATATTTCTTGCTCGTACTTAGTCGTTTGCATATTGTCTTTCCCTTTAGACTGTAGCTCCTTGAGAACATGAATTGATTTTTGCTTTTCCTTTCTTTGTTTCCCCAGGGCTTAGCACAGTCCCTGGTACATAGTAGATGTTTAATTAATACTAGTTGACTTGACATGACTGATCTATATTAATAAATTATTTCATGTAATTCAAAATAACCTTCAAAATAACCTTGTGGAGTAGTTACTATAACTATTATTCTTATTTTGCACATGATAAAACTGAAGCTTTGAGTGCTTGAAGGACTTGTTAGTGTTCACATATGATGTAAGGACGTTAAGAGATAATAAGGGTATGTGATAACATAATATATAATGGTCAGTGGTGGAATTTCCACCCAGGTCTTTTTCGCTTCAAACCCTGAACTCTATCTAGTCTGCTACACTGTCTCCCCCAAAAATAATAATAAAAATTCTCTACTACTACCATCACAATCAACACCATTTCCATCATCTTCATCATCATTGACAATTTACTATTGTCACTTTTTCATTTCCTACCCTGGATTAGTTAGTTGTCCACTGTCTTTGGTGATGACTGCCCTGGTAAGATCTGACTAGCCTGTGTCTAGTTCTAGGTACTGTGATTTCAAAGAGGCATAGAACTCTTAGACCGATGCTTTTCTCAGTCTATTGTAATGTTTTACCATATGTCACACTTATTTATGTAGTTATCTATGTATGTGTTTTATCTTTTATTTGACTCTAAGCTCCAGAAAGGAAGGGATTATGTATTAACTAAACACTGAATCCCTGAATACCTTCCACAATGCTCTGCTTAGGTGTTTAATAAATTCTTATTAAACTTCTCTAATGGATAATGTAGGATTGGTTAAAGAGGAATCAGTGAATTTAAGAACGAACTAGGGAGAACAAACAATGGAGGAAAAATAAAGGGTGGAAGATGAGGGTACACTGGATAGCTGTCAGTGGGTTTCTGAATGTCTGTGATACAAAGAATCGTGACTGAGGGTTCCCCTGCTCCAGTAAATATCAAACAATGGAATCAGTTGATCAAAAAACTATCACTTGTGCACAACTGTGTACAAGACAGACACAAAAAGAACTTCATGACAGAGAGGATTGTTTGATAGTAGAATAAATAGCTGAGGCTTTGAGCATAAGAGATAATTCAACTATGCCTCAACAGGTGAGTGGATCACATGATCTCTCAAATCCCCCATGATTCTGATAGAACACAGACACACACACATCCATACACACACAAAAGGGACTTGCTAATTGTAAGATTTTAAAAAATTATTTTGTTGTTCTTTATTTGCTATTTATTGTCTCTGAATGAGGAAATAGGGAGGGAAAGAGAAGGAACCAAGGAAATTCCCCATATTCAATCTAGGCATGTGTGACAGAAAGGAAGAAAGGGAAGAAAAGAAGAAGAGAAGGCAGAGAGACATATTAGTGCAAAAAGGAGGCTTTGGATTTGTTAGTCTGAATGCTGAGTGACTGGGGCCCAGGTGTTCTGATTCTTATACTGTGCCCTTGTCAACACCCTAAAAAGTGATCAAGGATTAACAGTAGATGATAGGCTGCTAGGAGATGGTATGGTATAATGGGAAGACTCTCGAGTCGGAGAACCTAGGCACGAATCTCCTCTCTAACATGTACTTTATGTATGACTTTGGGCAAGTCATTCAAATCTCCCTATGCCTTATTTTCCTCATCTATAAAATGAAGAAGTTAGACTAGATGGTCCATGAAATTCCTTGTAGCTCTACAATGATGATCCTATGGAAGCACAAGACCTTCTTTTTGACATTTCAAGATGTTTGGGATTCCATAAGGTTCCTTAGCCTGTAGTGGAGTAATTATGCTCCAACCCTGTCCCTCTCCTTGTTTCTACCTCTGCTCCTGTCATATAATCACAAATGTCAGAACCTAAGTAGATCTTAGAGGTCAGAAAGTCCAATCTTCTTATTTTGAAAACAAAACAAAACAAAACAAACAAACAAAAACCTGAGACCCAGAGAAGGAAAGTGACATGCCCAAGGTAACACTCAGTAAGTCAATAAACAATTCCTAAGCACTCCATGTCCCAGGCACTGAGCTAAATTCTGGGAATAGAAGGGCACAATTCAATCACTGCCCTTGAGGGGCTCACAATCACAGAGTTGGGAAGTTGTAGAGCAGGGGATCACGTTTAAGTCCTCTGATTCCTAATTCAGTGTATTTTCTACTATTCCTGAATGTCACATATCCCTGCCCCAGCTTCTGTTCCTCTTTATCCTTACAGCATCATGACATGGATAATCAGGACAGATCTGAACTATGAAATACTCACGGGCTGCTCTCCAATTGAGCAGGTTTGTGTCTTACTGGCTCTTACTTGGAAGAAAGCAGGACTCAGACAATAGAAAGTAGAGCCATTGAGAGGCTATATTACAGTGTCTATTCTGGGCATATTTATTTTCCTCCTTTTTCTTTCCCCAGGG